AAGGTGACGTTGTGATCTAAATATGTTACGGGTTTGCAGTTAATATCCAATAAAAGTGTAAGACCCTGGTTTTAAGGGAGTGTCCTTCAAATTACATGCATGAATTCAAGTTGCATTAAATAGAAAATACCTTTTTTGTGGAACTGTTTTAGCTTCATGGATCTGCTGATATATGTATGAGGAGCATTGTCAGATAATGTATGAGTAAAAGATCAACAGTATGTTCTTCGTATTCTTTTGATGATTGCACAAAAAATGGCAACTGTTAACTGGAAGAAACGTTCCCCTCCGACAAGGACAGAATGGACACTTGGGCTACTTGGGCTACGTTTATATGATGATGGTCTGAACAGAAGACGCAAAAGTGGCATCACATCTTCACTTTTTATTCTGCATTTAGATGAGGGTTTTGAGGAGGAAATCTGCGTGCATACGGTGACGCAAAAGTGTGTGGAATTCGATTGTGTTTGCATGCCAGGCGGCTCGGTGGTGACGCTAGGCGGTGATGTATGTGACGTAAACGTGTACGCAACCTGAGCAGATCTGACCAGAGTTTTGCGTCTTGGGCAGTGTAGACAGAAACACTATGGCGAAGCGTATTCAACTTTTCAGATTTTGTGAGCTGCGAAACGTCTTCAACCAAACTAACTTTTGTCCAGTCGACAAACTGAATTTTTCTCCTCATGGATTCTACCTGGACAACTGAGGGATTCTTCACACTTTTCAGATTTTGGTTTCAGAATTTTGCATTTTTAAGCCTCCAAAAACGCCGTCATCATCTACGAAACGAAAGACACATCCCATAACATTTTTTGTTGTTTTTACAGGCCCTGAGACTAAAACAGGGGTGTCAGACTCAAATTCACAAAGGGCCAAAATTAAAAAGTGGGATTAAGTTGTGCGCCAAACCAAATATTTATATAAAAATTTCAACAACATCTGCATGTTTTCTCTTCTTTCGTTAAACCTTTTCTTATTAAAATAAATGTTTAATAATAGTTTTGCTTAAACACTGAATCCTGAACAAGCAGAATATAAAAGAATGACAAAATTTTAAATAAATAATGTCTCTATAGTCAATCTGTAGTGTTGGGCAGCTCTAATACATATTTGATATTATCTCGAGGGCCAAATATAATTATATTGTGGGCCAAATTTGGTCCCCGGGCCTGAGTTTGACATGTCTAGACTAAAACAAATCTATATCATGGAACAGCTGACAAACTCCAAATGAAAATGGACGATAGACTCTGGTGATTATGTACCTGAATAATAAGTGATATAATAACCCTTTGTTAAGGATTGTGTTGTGGAAAAAAAATTATATATCTTTTGAAGATAAATTATGAATCCATTTGCGAAGCCCGATGAGTTTTTGGAATATAGACCAAATTTTTTTTTTGTTACAGCTAATTTTTATATAAATATCTGGTTTGGCCCACAACCTAATCCCAGTTTTTAATTTCGGCCCTTTGTGAATTTGAGTGTGACACCCCTGTTTTAGTCTCAGGGCCTGTAAAAACAACAAAATATTTTATGGGAAGTGTCTTTTCATTTCGGTATTGGTGGCGTTTTTGGAGGCTTAAAAATGCAAAATTCTGAAACCAAAATATGAATGTGATGTATCGTTTCCGTCTACACTGCCCAAGATGCAAAACTCTGGTCAGATCTGCTCAGGTTGCAGACAGATTTACGTCACATACATCACCACCGAGCGTCACCACCGAGCCGCCTGCCATGCAAACACGATTGAATTCCACACACTTTTTCGTCACCGTATGCACGCAGATTTCCTCCTGAAAATGCTCGTCCAAATGTGGAATTGCATCTTCTGTTCAGACCATCATCATATAAACGTAGCCAAAGTGTCCATTCTGTCTTTGTCGGAGGGGAACGTTTCTTCCAGTTAACAGTTGCATTTTTCGTGCAATCATCAAATGAATACAAAGAACATACTCTTGATCTTTTACATATACTTTATCTGACAATGCTCCTAATACATATATTAGGACTAGGACAGGGCCTAGTCCTGTTCCGGCCAAAGCCCAACAGCCTCTCCCCACCAGCAGTATGTTCCTACTGTACGTACATCTCCCACCGTCTCTCCCAGAGCATTTGAGCTCTGAGTATTTATACAGAAATACAAGTTCACATACATATCAAAGCAGAGTGACTTTGGTTTCAGAGGCTGGTGCTAAATGAACATACAGTTGATGATAACAAAGGGCTTCCTGAAGGCGGAGACAGTTGTGCCTGATGAACCTTTACACATGTTCATGACTGGTCTGGGTTTCAGGTAGAAAACACATTCATTTACACAAGACAGATTGAGAGAAATCGTTCCACAATCTAAATTTATATCACAATTACGAGTGTGCAAAAAATATCGGGAATATCGATATATCTTATCATTTAATGTGATGATACAGTATCGATATCGTGGGCTACTGTATCGATATATCTCCAAGAGTATTTTTAGGTGTATTTTACTAAATTATTTTGTTACAGAGCTACAGTTTTGTTCCTTGTGGAGTGAAAGGAAACTCATTTATGCGACACATTTGACATTTTTACTGTTTTGATGATTAAAATGTTTGTTTCATATGAACTTTGCACAAGAAGCAGTTTAACAAAGACTTTCAGTGTCACAGCCACCGTGAACCGTATCAAATCAATTTGAAATATATCATATCGAATCGAAAGCTCACTGTATCGAGATATGTATCGTATCATGGCCTGTGTATCGTATCGGCAACTTCTTAATGATACCCAGCCCTAATCACAATTGTTCTAAATGTTTATTTGCACTGCTGATCTTAATAAACTAAAGTTCAAAAAAAGCAATTGTTTCAGCTTCACAGGATCACACGTGTTTACTGAAGACCCCCTCTCTGTCAGCTTCACCGCGTGTGACGGTGAGTGGAAGTGCCCGGGCGCAGTAGCTCATAGCAGCTCTGAGGGGGGTGCTTCTCGGCTGGAGGTGAGCTGTATGTGCGGGTATGTCACCGTGCCACACATGTGCCCGCTCCAGATGGCCTCAAAGAGACCCGGGCTAATGCCAACATCACACGGCCCCACTGGCTCAAAGTGCGAGCCCACCCCCGAGACCCCGGCGCGGTGAGGATTCAAGCGGCGATCAAAAACCTCACGCACCAAAAAGGAGACACAATCACAACGGAAGGTGCGCGGCCTTTTACACAGACACAGAACTCTCCTCCCCGACAATTCAATCCTGGTCCTGGTTGCAATACTTAGTCTAGTATAACCCTCTGCAGCTCAAATCTGCTCAAATTTATTGCAGAAAAATATGAAAAAATACCCTCTTTTATTACTTTTGATTAGATCTATATCTCTTCTCATTTGTTTTGAAGTAATGTCCAGCTTATGTATGTATAACTATGTCTTCAAATAAATGTTTCCAATATATGAAGTCAATATATTACCTATGATTATAATATTGGTAATTATTTGGCTGTATTTTGAACAATTAAAAGTAAACAAAATCATTATTAGCCCAAAAATATAGTTAAATCTGTGTTACTGTGACAGGCCAATGTCCATGATCAACAATTGTCACCTGTTTTCATGTCTGAAGCTTATTTTAACCAATATCATATCTTTCTTTAAGCCTATGTTATTGGTTAAAACGCTCCTTTTGCATGAATTTCCTCGTCAAAAAATCTTCTTCTGAAAATGGTCTTAATAATTCATTCAGAACAGTGGCTCTCCGTGCTGTACTCTGTGATCGTCTAAACGGGACGCACTAATCAAGCTAAAAGGTTTTCAGGTATAAGTCCAAACCTCTATAATCTAATGCAGGGACTGATGTGTGGTTCAGTTTAAAGATACAGTATGTAGCTTTTCTGGTAGATATTACACGTTACCAGCTTGTCTCCATGGAGATGTTATAACTTTGCTTTAATATCCCACAGTATAGCACTAAACTTACTTATTTAGATTTCATGTATCAAGTATCAATGTTAAAATACACATACAGGGTTACTACTGAGAGTGGGGTCGCCTCTCCACTGATCTGACCCGTAACTTGGTCTGGTGGCATCGTCTTTGTGGAGTTAGATAAATTTAAAACTATACTGTGGAACATTACAGGCAAATAATTCACATTTCCATGAGACAAAATACTTTAAAGTAGTCAAGTCAAATATTGTTGTATATTCATTTATTTAAAGATCATTTCATAGTTATAGGCAGAGGTGGGATCAAGTCGTTGTTTTGCAAGTCTCAAGTAAGTCTCAAGTCTGAGTCAAGTCCCAAGTCAAATACAGGCAAGTCCAAGTCGAGTCTCGAGTCACTGGCCCATAAGTCCAAGTCAAGTCCAAGTCGTCTGCTTTGAGCTTCAATTCATTTCAAGTTTTTAAACCAAAATACCAAATATAGTTTAGATTTTTGCAATTTATATGAATTTTAAACAAAATTGTACTTAAAAAAAATCATAGTATATTTAAATATGAGTATTTATAGAGTATATAAGAATTGTAGAAATGTAAATTTTTCCTTTTTAAATGTCTTGACAAGATCTTAGTGTGAATCATTACAGTCAGATTAGAAAGAATTCAGATTTAAAAGTCTTCTCAAATCTTCTCAAATCACAAGGTTCAAGTTCGAGTCAAGTCCCAAGTCAGTGACCTTCAAGTCCAAGTCGACTCCCAAGTCTTAGTCCATTTTATCAAGTCAAGTCTCAAGTCCTAAAAATAGTGGCTCAAGTCTGACTCGAGTCCAAGTCAGGACTTGTATGTCCCCGCCTCTGGTTATAAGTGCACTCTGTAACTTTTTGGTTTGAGGTCCGTCACCTGCTTGTTTCTATTGATATGTCATTGCTCTGCCTGGAATGTTCCACAGTGTGACATTAAACAGTTCCACCTTACATTTATTCAATTACAGGTGGTTTTATAGCCCCAAAATACTTAGAAAAACAAACATTCTGACTGTGAGCGGGGTTGCTTCTCCACAGATCTGACCTGTAACTTGGTCTGGTTTGGTCTCCATGGAGATAGAAAGACAATACCATACTGTGGAACATTCCAGACCAACATCTCCGTGGAGAAAAGCATCTGACGGACCCTCCACCAGAAAAGTTACACAATGCACCTCTAAAGAAATAATTTTTCAGGTAATAAATTGGCAATATTGACAGTACATTTCTAAAAAAAAAGCAAAGATAACCCCTCTCCTCATTTCCCTTGCTCCATAGCGCCCCCTCTGGCAGCGTCCATCACACTACTAACCTATTACCCAAGTCCACACTAACTTCCAACTGTTTATAAAGGCTGTTATTTTCTGTTGTGTCAATTTTATTCATTTATGTTTGAAAATACGTTGCCTAGAGCTCGGACGGATCTGAATTCACCCTCCAAGGGCCGGCAGGGGGCGATGACGTCACGGGGCTGTCGGCGGAACCGGCCCACTACCAAATACTGGCTGAGCTTGGTGAGATTTTTCCTAAACATGTTATTCCGTATTGGAGCTTGTCAGATTTTGAGAATATTAAAGGTATAAGTGTCATTTAGAGCAAATAAAAAATTATTACCATACTTAAATTAAATCTCTATCATAAACTTAAAACTTAATAATTTAAAACCACAAAAACAAAGTGCTGTCTCTCAGTATTGAGTTTGTGTGCATAAAACTACAATTTAATTATCTTCAGAAATGGCCTTGTCAAATTATCTAAAAAGTTTTAAGAGTTACAAGGTATATTAATCGGTAAAAAGTTGTCTAAAAAAGTAAATCTATTGGAATTTGAGCTTATTTTAGTTCATGTAACTTTGGTGGAGGGTGTGAAACTGCTTGTCTCCATGGAGATGATGTCACTGCCTAGAATGTTCCACAAGACAGCATTAAACAACTCCATCAAGCATTCATCAGGTGTTTTTATTGCTAAAAAATACCCTGCAAAACATGTATTCTTAATGTGCAGGGTCGCCTCTCCGCAGATCTGACCTGTAACTTGGCCTGGTTGTGCTATCTGCTTGTTTCCAGTATATATGGGAGTTAGATAAGTTTAGAGTCATACTGTGGAACATTCACAGCAAACCATACAATCACCATGAAGACTTGAAGGTGGCAGAACATCCACCAGAAAAATTACACAATACACCTTTAACTTAGGGCCTGAGAACACTTGCGGGTAAAAATGACACAGTATTTTATTGGAAGTGCCTTTCGTTTAGACAGTGATGGCGTTTTTGGGACTTAAAAATGCAAAAATCTGAAACCATCCTCCAGAGTGGAAAAGTTGAATACACTCCGCCGTAGCGTTTTCATCTACACTGCCCAAGACGCAAAACTCTGGTCAGATCTACTCACATCACATATGCATTTAAGTCACATACATCACCACCAAGCCACCTGGCATGCATATACAATCGAATTCCACACACTTTTGCGTCACCGTATTCACGCAGATTTCCTCCCGAAAACGCTCGCCTAATCGCGGAATAAAAAGTGAAGACGCAACGCAAATTTTTCGTCTTCTATTCAGACCGTCGTCATATAAACTTAGACTTAAACACTGTAGAATTTCACTTACGCTTTTTTACTTTCTCATCCCCTGTTATGTAAATATTGCATGGTTTTATATGTTTAAATGTTTGTCATTTTCAGGGAGGGGCTTTAATAACCTGAGCCTGGTGCACATGGGCAGACACATCCCCACGGGGCAGTTAGTGGCTTTAAAACAAACCAACCTGGACGAGTGCACAGAAGAGGAGCTGCTACAACTTATGGTACTTTGACTACCAAACATCTTTGGCTGACTTTCCTCACAAGAATGATTTCATACATTAATTCAAAATCTACATTACTCAGTGAACCAGCAGCAGTAATGGCGTTGACAAATTATGTTGGAGTAATTTAGCTAAGAGAGTGGTAAAAGCTGCCCACAGCTGCATTCTCAAAAGGAAAAATGGAAGGAAAAGCAGCTACCTCTGCAGTCGCTGCAGTAGAAATACTTTATTATCCCGAAGGAAATCCATTTGAAGCAGCACAATACAAACATTCATAAAACATAATGATAACAATAACATCAATTTAGTTATAATGAAGGATTATATAGCCGTATTTATTTTTATTTAGGACTTATATAATTCTGAATATAAATTACAACAAGACGATGAATCAATATATAATAAAAGGGCTTTTGTAGATCAAATAACTTTAACATTTATTTATAAGAGAGTGTCATGCTTTTGATACTGTTTATAACAGACTTGATTATTTAAATAAAAAAAAAAATCTTAGCCTTGGCCTGGTGGAGTCATGCTTGTCTCCATGGAAATAGGTTTAATTCCATACTGTGGAACATTCTAGACCAGGGGTGGGCAAAGTTTTTGACTTGTGGGTCACTAAGGGTTTGAAAATTTGACAGAAGGGCCAGGCCAAGAGCAGATGGATGGAGTATTTTAGTAATCTACCTCATAAGAGAAAAAAATAACATAGGAAAAGTAGAAAACATATCCCATGTTATTAAAATATCCCATAATTGAAAATCATTATAAAGCATTACAACTAAATATCCATCCATCCATCCATTTTCGTCCGCTTATCCGGGGCCGGGTTGCGGGGGCAGCAGCCTAAGCAGGGACTCCCAGACTTCCTTCACCCCAGACACTCCAGCTCCTCCGGGGGAACCCCGAGACGTTCCCAGGCCAGCCGAGAGACATAGTCCCTCCAGCGTGTCCTGGGTCTTCCCCGGGGCCTCCTCCCGGTGGGACATGCCCGGAACACCTCCCGAGGGAGGCGCCCAGGAGGCATCCGGAACAGATGCCCGAGCCACCTCAACTGGATACAACTAAATATCTGTTTTTTAAATCCCACGGTATTTACTATTTATTGAAACGACTTTTAAGACACTGGGAATTATTATTATTATTATTATTATTATTATTATTATTATTATTATTATTATTATTATTATTATTATTATTATAGTCACTGATGGTATCTCAGATTTTTTTTTTTTTCTTTTTCATTTTTTAAAAATTTACATTAATAAACATTTTGAATTTTTTGGGGGATAACACTGCTGAACGGGGATTGTGTCAATGGCATAAATTACTTTCTATATTATCTTTTATTGTCTATATTTTCTTCACCAGTATTGTACTTCAAAGTTCCAAATATTAACAATATTATGCTAAGAAAACTAGTTAAACATTACCATTATTTATCAACATTTTTACTTCTCCCCCAGAATGAAGTTTTGCTGTCTCGACTTTTTCGCCATCCAAACCTTCTCACGTCTCGCCTCGTCTTCAGCTCCTCGTGTCAGCTCTGGGTCCTCTCCCCGCTCATGTCCTACGGTGAGACCTCTTCACAATAACTAAATTGATAATGCTTTTATAGATACATTAGTGAATTAAAATCTCTATCCATTTTTTCCACTCGCTCTTCAGGCTCTGCAGACTCTTTGCTGAGAACCTATTTCCCTGATGGTATGAGCGAGTCTTTAATCGCATATCTGCTGTTTGGAGTGCTCAAGGCTCTGGAATACCTCCACAAAATGGGCTACGTTCACCGGTAAGAGCTGTTAGGATTTTAACATGCAGAGGCACATAGATAGGTATACCTGCTGCAGAGATAGTTTTGAATGCACATACTAGTATATATTTTTCATATTAACCTGATATAAGTGTTGTCAGAAGTATTGAAAATCAGATACTAATTGATACCAAAACTAGTATCAAAACTAGATACTCATTTGTGCAAGTGTCACTTCTAAAAAGTCTCATTCACAGGACAAAAATGAACTTTTTAAGAATAAGTTTTTAAGTATAAGAAGTGTAAGAGCACATAGACAGTATACGCCCATGGACCACTATGGAACTACACAGATATAAGACCACATGGAACTAGAAAGGAACAGGGGTCATCAAACTAAGGCCCATGGGCCAACTCTGGCCTGCCACACCTCTTTGGCCGGCCCCCCAGCCCCTCTGCCTGCCACCACTTGAACTGTAGCCAGGCTGGTGCCACCTAGTGCCCCAGCTCAAATGCTTTTCTCTCCAGCGACTAGTTCAGGAATCAGAATACACTAGACGATTCGCAGAAAATCCCAGAAGTGCGAGTTCAGGCACCAGACAATCAGTGAAGAGCCATACATTCTGTGTTGGCAATGATTCCCAAGATCGAGGATTTAAAGCCAGAACAAAGAGAATATTTGGTGAATTTTATCAAGGGGAAAGACGTTATTGCCCTTCTTCCTACAGGATTTGGGAAAAGCTTAATATATCAGTTAGCCCCGTTAGTGGCGCATTACATACGTCACGACCAAATAGCAACGATGATTAAATAATAAAAGTACCTGCCTCTTGTCAAGCAAACGAATTCTAAGGCTGTGAGAATCAGGCTACTTGAACTGGCCCTATGAGGCAATCCTCAAAAGTTGTCATGGCCTATTTTATTTATTTCTTTTTACTTTTTGACAAAATAATAACATGTCTGCATCTTGTATTTTGTTGATTTTTTTTCAATTAAAAAGATATTTATATGAAGTATTTATATTTATTTATATTTAAATAATTATATGACGTATTTATATTTTCCGCAGAATTTGCAGCTGATCCACCTGACAAACTCGAGGTCAAACAGTGACAGTCACACACTAACAGAGCAAAATGCCTCGTGTTAAAGTATGAAAAGTTGAAAGAGTGCAGAGTTTTCAAAGAACAATGGATGACCGATTATTTTTTTGTTCAGTGTAAGAACCGTGCAGTTTGTCTGATATGTAAAGGAAGTGTGGCGGTTTTCAAATAATCTAATCTGCGTCATCAGGGACATATGATTCTGTTTCACGGCCGACCCGACTCCGGCCCTCGTCACAGTCAGGACTGATAATGTGGCTCCCAGAGAAAAAAGTTTGTACTAGGATTTAATGTTGAAACTCACATTCTATTGTCTAAAGAAAGACATATTATCATTGTGGTATTGGAATCAGTATTGAGTATTCCTTAGTACATATTCCTTAGTATCGAAATCAAGTTTGAAATCTTAGTATCGTAACAACACTACCTTATATACTTGTCACAGTTCTGCCTTTTGTTTACATGTTTTCTCCAGTCCAGCTCCATTTCCCACTCTGTTCCGGTCCTCCTTTTGCTGCCTCCATAATTTTTCCTACAACTGCCACTCATTCCCTAATCACCCCAGGGTAGTCTGTATATCCTCCCTGTGTTCATTCAGTCTTTGTTAGATTGTTAACCTGTCAAAAGAGACACTCAAGCTCTATCTGAAACTCTGAATCTGATCTGTTCACATTTTATGCAATTCTACTTAATTCCCAGTTTGTATCTGTTTCTGAATTTATTCCCAGCCCATTTTCTACTTAGTGTATTAAACAGTTTTGGAAGATATTTTACTTCACATTAAATAAATCATATGTTGTTGTTTGCCATATTAAACATTACCTGTGATAGGACACTTTATGTTATTGAACTAAGACTTTGTTTGCCTGTATGCTTTGTGCTGCATTTGAGTCCAGTTTTCCTGTGTGATAATGCCTTTTAGTACAACATTTTTAGTGGAGTTCAAGCTCAAGTTTAAGACAATTTGTTGCTGAAGTGCTTCCAGATTTAAACCAGGTTAATAAAAGTAACAAAAGTCTAAACTATGGCAAGAGAAACTCAGCCTAAATATGCATGGGTTTATGTGTTAAACATGTGTGAATGAAACAAAACACAACTCCAGGTCTGTTTGTGACGAGGAAACAACATTATTACATGGATCAGATAGTATCATAGTATAATATAGGCCCTTTAAATTGAGTGACATTCATCTCATCAGAATTGCAATGTCTCTTATCTAACACATTACCATAACTTCCCTGTTTTTGCTCCAGGGGGGGTTAAAGCCAGTCACATCCTGCTGTCTGGAGAGGGCCGTGTGTACCTCTCCGGTCTGCACAGTGCCTACAGTATGATGAGGGAGGGCAAAAGGCAGAGGGTGGTCTACGATATGCCCCACCACAGCCCCGCACTACTGCCCTGGCTCAGTCCGGAGCTACTCAGACAGGTATAATAATATTCTAGTTCAGGAATGACATTATCCCGGAGAAAAGCAGCTATGTCGATTATTCTTTGACATTTTGTTCATTTCTTAATAATAGAGGTCCATTGACTACAGAACATGTGGCATTTCACTGTAGAAAGATTTTCATTGTTGAAAAATGTAGTATGTGACATTTTTAATCTTACATTTATATCTTACATTTCCTGGAGTATGGCTTTTGGAATAAAAATAAACCTCAAATGCAGGGCAATACAAGATTACTCAAACTTGCATGGATCAAAATATAACTAAACAACAAAATAAGTAAATAAAACTAAGCTAATGATGAGGAAATACTGTTATTACAAAGGTTATTATCTCATGTAAATTGATTTCAGAGCTTTGTTTGTGATTAATCTTGTGTTATTCCCCAGGACTTGCACGGTTATGGAGTGAAGTCAGACATCTACAGTTTGGGGATTGTTGCCTGTGAACTGGTCAGTGGAAGGGTGCCTTTTCAAGACATGCCGCCAACTCAGGTATTTCATGAACAATACTTTAATTTTCTAAAACATAACTCAGCATGTTTCATCTGTACTATAGGCCTACTGCATCTTTGACAAAATGAGGCATAAACAACCAAAAAGAGCAGTTAACACCACTAATTAACATGTGTTTCAAGGACTCAAGGAAAAAAGAAACTAACTTTACTTGAAGTTGATGCAGCAGTCACAGCTAGTTA